GGGGGGGAGAGAAAGGAGGGGAAGAGAAAGGAGAGGGGGGGTGAGAAATTAGGAGGGGGGAAGAGAAATTAGGAGGGAGGGAGAGATATTAGGAGGAGGGAGAGATATTAGGAGGGGGAAAGAGAAATTAGGGGGGGAGAGAAATAGAAATTGGGGGGGAGAGAAATTGAAATTAGGAGGGGGGAAGAGATATTAGGAGGGGGGAAAGAGAAATTAGGAGGGGGGTGAGAAAGAGAAATTGGGAGGAGGAGAAGGAAATTGGAGCGGGAGGAGAGATTGACATTCATCACATACACACAATGCACCCTTTGCACACAGAAAAACACACAATGCATTACACACACAGACACACATACACAAGCAATGCAACCGTTACACACAATGCATCCCTTACACACACAGAAACACACAATGCATTCATTACACACACTCAATGCACCCCCTACACACATTCAATGCATCCCATACATACACAGAAACACACCTTGCAGCCCTTACACATACAAACACAATTTCACATAATGCATTCCTTACACACATATCAGGACATCCCTTACACACTCCACCCCCTGTGAACAAACTCATTGGTGGAACATGAAGGTGGACCCTGGGACCCAGACCTTGAGCTGTGTAAAGGGCCCCCAAAAAATGGAGCTGCTTCCCGTTCTCCCAGAACATTGATTTTTGTGACCACAGTTACAAACCTCCAGAGAGCCTGTTCTACACCAGACCAGTGGAGCTGGGCAGACTGCAGCCAGAGCCCATCATCATCCCTCATCTTGGTTGTGGGCAGGCAATCTAAGTATATTATTCCGTGCACTAAGCCTAATTTACCTCACATTAAGAAACATCTATAGGTCCCCTGGTGAACCACCCCCAGCTTAATGTAGTGGTTCTAGTGTCTATAGCCTGTCCTTGCAGGCCTTTTAATGTAAACACGGGCGGCACTGCAGCACTGGCGTAGTTAACATGGTGCAGGTCATATGGGTGGGGCATTGTGATGTCACATGGGGGGGGGGCGGCAAACTTTACTTTTGCCTAGGGCGGCAAAAATCCTTGCACCGGCCCTGGCTGGAGGGTGCTGTGTGAGCTGTGGCCGCACAGTGTCCCATGGTAGTTAGGGTGCCGTGCGGCCAGTACAGCTCACACAAGCAAACAGCTGTTAAACTGGCCGCACGGAGGAAATGTGTATGTGTGACTGTCTGCCTGTGACTGTATGTGACTGTCTGCCTGTAAATGTGTGTGTGGGGCTGCGGGGGTTTTGTATTGGGACAGGAGTCTTTACAAATTGTAAAAAAAAAAAAAAAGAGAACCTTTAAAAAAATTTACAGGTTTTTTTGGGGGTGGGGGTGCCAAGCTCAGGATCCGCCCCGGGTGCCAAATGCTCTAGGTACGCCCCTGTTCCTGCCAATTTAGGTGTCTGCAATAACTTAGTACGTTTTTCAAGTGAAGACACCACTTCCCCTAAAACAGTATTATTCACATTTGTTTGTAAGTTACCCAGCTCACGACTGCGACCAGAGATATCCTGAGCCGCTTCCTTTCTTCGAATAGCCTAGGTCTGTCCTCAGCCTCTTTACTCTTCTTTTGTTCGTATTTTCTGCTCTGTTTCCACATCCTCTTCTTGCTCTTTATTGGAGATGGTGAGAAAGTTTTACTGAACCTTTTCGTTCTTGCCTCACGAATCCTGCAGGGGTCGCTATCACCAGATTTTCTTTCTTGCACTGGCCCTTTAATTTTTAGAGGAGAATACACTGCTCCCTTCTCCATTATTAGCTCCTCCTGTAACTTAGCCCCTTCTTCTTCTACTTCAATTAGACCCGAGGTGCTGGGGGTGGACTCCAAGCAAGCCTACAGCCATGCAGTATCGCTGCAGCCTAAAGCCTTCTGCTTAAGCTGTTCCAATAATGCTTCAATTGTGCCACACATCTCCAAAGGTAAAAACAGCAGCTCAAATATGTTAATACAGCCAACCTTCAGATTTGTCTGGCACAAGCTGAGGTAATTAATTTTGGCGCCCTTTCATTTATACCCCTTATTTTCCCTCCACTGTGGCCCTCGCGCTGCTACCTACCAATCAGGGCTCATGCCCTGGTCACGAGCTTGACACCTTTCTACCAGCGCGAGCTGCCCTGCCATTAACCCTAGCCTGCATTTAACCCCTAGCGCGAGCGCTATACTTACCACCCACTTTGACCTATCAAACCTCATGGGGCTGTTCCTTATGTAGTCCGCGTGCCCGACATTCCGGTTATAACAACTTAATAAACGAACGACCCTATTCTGCTGATGTACAGTGTAGTGATATCAGATATTAAAAGGTACTGAGATGTGAGTGTGTGTGCAATGTATCTGTAAAATGATTCCATCCTTGCCACAGATTTCATTACATGATTAATAACCATGGCAGCATTAACTGTTAGCTCCACCCCTCACAGTAGAAAGGACAAGAAACAGAACCGCGAAATGAGTATAAATGGTACGGCCCACTCCCTAGCAGACAGTCTACATCCGCTATATAATACTGTAATAGTTATTAATGAGAAAACAAAAACTATGCAAAGTATGAAACCTTTTCCAATGTTCCTGTCTAAACCATGGCTGCATTAACTAATGTGTAATCCCCAAACAATACATATAAATAAGAGCTAAAATAATATACAGATTTTAGATACCAGCTAAAAAGTACAAAAACATTACCGGCTGCACAAGCTAAAATGGGATGCCAAATGACAATGCCTGGAAATTTAAAGGGAAATTATAATACTAGGAAAAGCGCAGCAGTTTTATATATTTCATAAATGCCATAACGTACCAACTGAATGTTCGCTTCTACAAAAATCTAAAATGTGCCTGACTAGCAAATGCCGCAACATGTACTGAAGATATGTATACATTGACGCCGCTGTTGCGGCGTACCAAGGCTTTTTGTCAAACTTTGTGCACAACTAAAATAAAAAAAATCCATAATAGTTTTTTATTACATATATTAGTCACACAACCTTATACAGAGATTTAATGGGGCACATATACTAGGGCCATCACTTGCCATCAGCTCATACACAGATTATATTGGTTTCGTATGCAGGGCCGGTGTGGGACTATTTTGTGCCCTATCATAAAAAAAATTAAGTCTCTGTCTCTCCTAGCACCTGTGTGTCCCTTTGCCCCCTCAGCCCTCTGTGTACTACTTCTCACCCCATTAGCAGTCTCTGTGCCTCCCTCCCCCTCCAGTCCTCTGTGTGCCTCTCTTCCTATCCCCCTTGTGGTCTACCCCGTGCCAGTTCTTGTCACTCCTCCACGTAGCATGGTCAGTTCACAGACTGCTGTAGAGGAGCTTCTGTTCCCTCTCCACATTCTGACATTAAGCTGCTCATTTCTTTCTGTGATCACTTCCTGTCAGACCGGTCCGGTCATACTACATGCTGCGACAGGAACTGCACAGCGCTCACCTTGTGCTGTCACCCGGAGACTGTGGCCCCCAGGCCGGTTCACCCTAGGTGGCTGCCTAATCTGCCTATCGGTTGCGTCGACCCTTCTCATATGCAAAGACAGACAAGGGGAGGAGCATCTGTAACAAGTTACCTTCTTCTGTTCCTGAAAAAGGCTTGTTTATGTGCTAGAAAACAGGTGTTTGTAATTAATTTCACATACCTTGTTGGCATGGATTTAGAGTTAGGATTTTGGACAGAGTATATTGGAAGTTACATTAAAATCTTTATTTTACCATTTGCCTCTCAGTCTTCAGGGACTCTGTGAACCCTAGAGAAGAACAGGTTTATTAGAACTTTGTTTCTTTTTCGAATGCAAACCTGTAAACCGTGTTTCGTCAGTATTATTAACAGGAGGATTTGTTAATGAGCAGAAGTTATGAAATACTTAAAATACAGAAAGCACTCCAGCTTGCGTTACTGTGTTCCCTATTTTTAGATCATAAAAAGGTCTGATTTCAGTAGTCGTTACACCAATTAGTTTTTCTTCCACAATGCTTGAAATGGAAGCGACACTTGACGTGAGTGTGTTTGTCTTTAGGCTTCTAAAACTGTAGTACATCTCATTGAGAAGTCTGTTATCGAATCCTGCTAATTGGGTTTAGTCCGATATGCAAAATTAATATTATTAGCAGGCATCAAGGACCATATCAAAATGTTTTAGCTGACTTTAACTAACTTGCATGTTTTGATGCTACAGGTTTCCTCTGCGATGCACAACTGAACTAGACGTGTGGATCCGTGACCACCTACAGGACAAGGACACCTATAGGACATTCTCAGGGATCATCTCACGTGTGTGTATTAAGACTCCCCAAAATTTCAAATCGAAAAGGTGACAAGTGGAAACCAGCACCTCATCTCCTGCTTAGCTTGTTTCCATTGTAATCTCAATAAATGGTTACACTCCCTGCCTATGGTGATGATCTAGTGAAAGTCTTAACACTGAGAACACCCTCTTCTCCTACATTGTTAGATATTTCACAGCTATGATGTCATAATACATAACATTTCTTAATACCTTGTCCCCTCCAAACTATCCATATTTACAGCATACCTAGACCACAATCATGTTTTTAACTTTACACTCATACCCAACCAACATCTGCTTCCCCCCCCCCCCTGTAGTCTTTGTTACTTGAGTATCTGTTCATCTGTCCATCTTCCAGAATCGTTTGTGGTTTTTTTCTTATTCTAACATTGCTAGTTTTCCCCCATTCTCATCCCAATGTCTACTTTCCTGTTAGCATTTTCCCCAGTCTCACTTCAGACCCCAAAACAAACCTTACGCTGCCTTAGAATAAAGCTTCAGTGCCTCTACTTACATTCAAAGAATTTTATAATAAAAAAACATTGATTATTTTTACCACTCAATACAGACGATACAGTTTTTAAATAAATCTTTATTTCTTCCATTAGTGTAAGAATTGGAGGACAATTGTTTTAACTCTACACACACATAGGTGAATAATTTTACAAGGTCATATGAACATACAGTATTGAATTTTAAATAGTATAAAAGAATCAAAATGCTCTGCATTGGGATAATAGACAACACAAAAGATTAAATGGTTAAAGTCTTACTGAATTCCAAGTATGATAGGTTCCAGAGAGCATCTTTAAAGTAGTACAATTCACGGTAACACTGGGGATTTGTAATTACAGTATTTTTTTTATCTGGTATTGCATGCCATTTAAGACAATGACAACAAGGCCCCTTAATATTCAGTCTATATGGCTCTGTTTAGTACCTTTGTCAATCCCTGTACTTGCACAATCTTTGTTCTAAAGGTTAATAAGCACTTGGGTATAATAATGGGCAAGGGATTGTTAGGGTATTAATGAATGCGAACTACTGCATGGCAAAGCAGCGATTCTTACGTACACATCATTTATCCCTTGTAAATATTTTAAAACATTCATCGTTTACACATTCCAAGCTGGCCTTAAAATGCTATGATTTTATATTGTGCAATGAGGGATCTTATGACCTTACACAAGTGAAATTGTTGGTTGTGCACAATTCAAACTGCATTATGTAGATAATCAGGGAGATTAATGGTCATCAAATATTCTCCAAGGAGGCGACAGATAAAATGGATATATATATATTTTTTTTATATAGTTATGCGTTCTATTCTAACATTTGAAAATAATTAGGCCTCCAGAATAAGTTAATCGGCTTTTTCAGTTGAACGACAACTTACAATTTTTTACTTTTGAACCGGCAAATTAATACGAGCAAAATTTTTCATTTCAAAATTATTTCGTAGCCCACTACAGTCGTTTTCATAATTACACAATTAAAGTCCAGACATCTGTACTACAAATCCAGTTTGATCAGACAGTTTACCAATGACATACCAAGATGCTACAAAAAATTATTTCTATTTATACACAGCAATAATAAACCATGTACATATTAATTCATTATAGATTTTTCTTTAACATGGACAAGATAGCAAAAACAATAAGACAGGTTGATAAATGTAGGCACGGCTCCAAGCAATAAAGCTCAATTAAAGTGCATTTTTTTGTTTTCTTGTATTTAGTATTTTCTCAGCTTAATTTAGTTCTTTGCTATACACAGCAACAACAAAAGTACAATTGTTTTATCCTTTTCTTTTAAAGGTATTGCACAAAATATAATACAAGATATCTGATGTCAGTAGCTTGTGGAGTAGCCTAAAACCGAGAGGAAAGTAAGAAGGCTAATGGACAATGACTGTGCTATTTATATATGTATATATATATTTTTTTTTTATTTTTATTTTTTTGCCCATACTAAGTATTTAAGAGCTGGGTCACCAAAGTTGGCGTATCACAGAAAGGCAGTCGGCTTCCAGCATTAAATATAGAAAAAGTGCCTAATTGCTCTAATTAAAAGCCTACTAGGGTTGCTAACGAAGAAAAGGCACTCTGCTGTTTCAAAGATCTTTTCAGAAGCGTATAATATGCAAAGTACAATGACCATCTGACTGTATATTCAAAAGCAAGTAGGTTGCATTATATGGAAGGTTTTTGATATTTATTTATTGGCTCGATATTGGTTAGAGATGCATTTAAAAATGAAAAAAATTATGAAAATGGTGCAGTATTTCAAGCTTGTGAGGATCAAAGAGAAGACAGGACACAGTAAGTATATTTTTCTAGTGAAATCATGCACTCACGGTAGGCAAACAAAATGTAAAGAATCTGTACTGTCGAGCTCAGACAGTTCAACACTAATTAGAACGTGGTGGGTTTCTGTAGAAGCGGACTTTTACTATAAATCTACTGTTATCAGTTCTTTCTACACTACATATATCAA